GGGGACTGGTCAGATGTATACGGTGTTCCCAAATTGGGACTATGTTTTATTAAGTGGCTTTGTGTTTAGAGATGGTCAGAATTACTGCCAGTGATGTCTCTAGCACCAAACATTGCCTCCTTTCTAAAAATGGCAAGAAATAATAGACTTCTGCATCTGTAGAGAATGGGCAAGCCTCCAGAAGACAGTTATGAAAGCTGTATTCAGTTCTTTAACATTTCCAGATTTTTCTGATCCAGCCCCAGGAATGATGTGTGAGAGAAAAGGCAGAGTAAGAGGCAATGCCCAGCAGCTGTGCTCCAGGAAGGGGAGGAGTGGACAGCCTTACTCTCCCTCACTGTGTCTCCACCCTGTCCTCCTAGTCTGTGTGCTGTCCCTGCATGTCTATCTGTTGACCATCTAGGAAGTTGCATTCTTACCATGTGAGGAACTGAATCTGGGAGAGGGCCAGCAGCATCCCTTGTGCTTCAGTCTGTGGTATACACCGAAAGAGGGTTTTTTTTTTTTTTCCCTTGTTGGTCCCACTGTGGACTTGCGATGCTCAGCATACTCATTAGGGCAACAGCTTTTTGCTGGGGCCAGGAGCTCTGCAGGGCCTGGGTGTTGGAAAACTAGTAATGTTTTACATGACTGAGTTTTCTACATAATGGATACCTACCCTTTATCAACACTTAACAAATTTAAATAATATTAAGTGGAGATCTCTCAGACTAGATCATTCTCTTCCTTATACAACTCTCAGTTGTTGGCTTCTGCTGAACAGAAGGCTCTCAGACCATTGTTTATCAAGAGTATAGTTAGAGAAAAAAAAGTGTGCGGTCAGAGGGCCACCTGCTTCAGAACAACCCTGGGAAGGGGGAGTCGGTTATTGAAATGCATATTCCTAAGACCCAACTGGAATACTTGACAATTAGGCACATACATTTGCTTTATAAATATGCTTTATAATATGATTGCCCAGCTGATTGTGGTGCATCTATGTAGGGATTCTGAAGGAGAGAGGGCAAGGATTTCATGTGGTGTGTTGACTGCACCCTAGCACCAAGAACAGTGCCTGGCACTTAAAGGGGACTTAAAAACAGAGGGGGCAGTACTTACCCGGTGAGTGAGTGAGTTCTTGTGCCTAGTTTTCTTAATTGCTATGGGTTGGAGAACCTTGTTATTATTTAATAAAAAATAAGAGTATAAGATACATTGAGAGGATAGGGGCTTTTCTCTTTGTAAATTATTTGAACTCTAAAATGTTAATGTGCTCCATTTTTTTCTTGGCCCAGAGGTTTTAGTTTGTCTGGAAAGTAAACGGTTAGTAGCTACACACTGGATTCCTGGTTTTCAGGTAGGGTCTAAATAAGTTGCTTCAAAAATGAGGAACTTCAGTGTTACTTTGACCTTGATATTTATCTGGGCTGTTTTGAAGGATTAATTTCCAGAGTTCTGGTAGCTAAGATGAGACTATTTAGAAATGCAAGGTATTCGTACTTGCCTATGTGTGGTTATGATTCCTGTCCCTCACCCCCAGCCATGAGCAAAATGTGTGCTTTCTAAAAATACTGCTATTGAACTATTCCCAAGTCTCAAAGCGGGTTAAATTGTGAAAGAACAATAACAGATTGTCAACTTTCATAAGGTTTGAGATCATCTGAATTTGAACATGTTTCTCTTTCCCTCATATATTAAAGAGTCTGAGAATACTATTTCAAGCCTTTTGAGTCTTTTCTGTTTTTTTTTTAACTAAGCAGACATCTAAGTCCAGTGTTTTCAGTATTTTCATCTACTCTGTTTTTGTGTGTGTTTTGCATTGCATTGTTCCCAAAGGAACACCTTTTTGATTAAGCAGGCACAAATGGAGAACCTGATATATATATTTTTTTAATTTAACAAATATTTGAGCACCAGGCACAGTGCTCAGCTCTGGGATACAGACATGAATGATACCATTTCTGAAAACAAATTCTAGTTAGATAGCTTGATGTTATGGTAAAGAGCAGAAATGTATGAGTGGTATCACTGGGTTCAATAAGAACCCCCCCAAAAAACAAAGATTAAGCTAGGACTAAATTGTAGGGCGCCTGGGTGGCTCAGTCGTTAAGCGTCTGCCTTCGGCTCAGGTCATGATCCCAGGGTCCTGGGATCGAGTCCCACATCAGGCTCCCTGCTCAGCAGGAAGCCTGCTTCTCCCTCTCCCACTCCCCCTGCTTGTGTTCCTGCTCTCGCTGTCTCTCTCTGTCCAATAAATAAATAAAATCTTTAAAAAAAAAAAAAAAGCTAGGACTAAATTGTAAAGGATTAAGAGTTGGGCAAGATGTCGAAGGATGTTGCAGGCAGGCAAAAGAAAGTGGTTTGTTGGCATATTCTGAGAATGTGAAGTGGTTCTATGTGGCAGGTGTATCTGGGGTCACGTGAATAACTTTCTATATCCTAAGGACTCTTCATTTTATTCATAAACTGATAGAGATTTACTGAAGGGATTTTTAAACTGGAAAGTGGGATCAGATTAACAATCATTTTGACGGGAAGAAAGGGTTGAAACAGAGCAATTCTGAAGATGCCAGAGATCAATTAAGAAGGACTCTTTGGTAAACTAGAAAAGAGGTAGGGAAAGCTTTAATTGAAACTAGATTTTTATAGCTAAGCCAGAATTTTTAAAATGTGTTGTTTACTTTAGAACTCAATACATTTTCAAATTTTGGTTTAGCAGTAAGATTCATGAGACTTAAATATAGGCTGTAAGTTTTAGAAAGTTTTATGAAGTGTCAAATATTCTTTTGTTTTCAGCTTTAAATTCTTCAGTTGTTTGCTCAATATGGAATTCTTGTGTACCGACGTACAACTATATTTTTCTGGCATATTTGTGTGTGTTTGTAGAGTGAATATAATTATAGCTAATTGAAAATACTGATATCTTTGTTAATCCCATGAACCTGGAGCTACATTTTCTAAGAGGTTTTGTATTGGAAAGGAAACTTTTACCATTTTCATTTCCATTCTCGCTAAGGCAGTAAGTTTACAGAAAGCGCTGTAAACACTCTTAAGTAGAATTTCAGGAATCTTGAACAAGAACTAGGAGACAAAATATTTGTATGTTTAGTTTTTAGGTGGGCCATTCAAAATAGGTTGTAGTTAGAGAATATACTTATAAAATCATTAAGATCAGTATTATCCTTGAATATACTCCAAATCCTTATAATGTGCTCTTTTTTACATGTATTTTGCCGGTCTCCCTCTTTTTTTTTTTTTGTTTGTTTGTTTTTGAATTGAGCTTAAATAGACCAGTCTTGACATTTAATTAAAACGAATTGTAAACAAATGTGACAAAATCTAAAATAGAAAATGAAGATAAGAACCCACTCACTTTTAAAGTAGCAGTGTTAGAGACATTCTTATTTTATAGATATATAGATGTATTTGGTTACAATTCTGAATTGTACAGTATTTTCCATTTCTGTCCCTGATCTTTCGCATGGAATTTTCATGTGTTAAGCACACACAGCTCATGTGTTCAACTTCTTTACTTGGTTGCTTTTCCTATTGACATTCAAAAGGCTTATGAGTATGACTGTGTCTTCTGGGTCTGTGTATTTCTGCATAGAGTCTGAGACTTAATGAAATCTTAATTTCATTGTCTTTTCCACATGTTTATGATCTTTCTTTCTGTGTTTTTACCATTACCATTTGTTCCCTGGATAGTCTACATAATTGCACTGGGCTTTATGGATAGAAAACTTAAAAATAGCCTAAATCATGTCTTCTGTTTATATCCTGTCTAATCTGAGCTATTGAGACCACTCCTTTTCATTCACTCTGCCACCAGCCACCATGATTCTCTGCATTTTCCCACTCTCAATCATTCGCCTGCTTTATGCTTGTCCCCTGGCTAAGGGCTTCCCAGTGCTAGTAGGACAAAGATCAAGTTCTGAAACGGGTCAGGCAGGTTCTCCATAGTCTGGCATGCACTACCTCTGGTATCATTCTCACATCTAGCAAGTTGTTGTGCTCCAGTCTTAGATTAAAACAAACAAAACATGGTTTCCTGAAAATGCTATATTCTCTGTTACCGCCTCCTTTGTACCTCCTCTGTGGGCACTTTACTGAGGAGGCAGAATTGCTATTCCTTCCTTCCTCTGTGCTCCATAGTATTTTGTTCATTTAGCAGCTGTAACTTTTCTCAAACTGTATTCTTAGTTTGTGTATCAGTCTCCCCTACTAGACTGAGTTTTACAAAGACCCTGACCTACTTGTTCTTACATCCTCAAGGCCAAGGGCGATCCCTGGAGCATGGCAGACAGTCATGATAATCTTTAGTGGGGAGCTGTTCAGTTTGTCTAGCATTACAAAAGTATGACAACAAGATAATGTATAAACATAGAAATATAAAATTTTGTCTTTGAAATGTATGTGTGCCTAATAGGAAGCATAGTTTACTATGACATCTCATAAGGCATCTGTGAAGGTATTCTATACAAGACAATTAAAGGTGACAGTCTGGAAAATCAGGTTCTTAAGGTGCCATCTGGGACACATTTGGGGCTAGATAAGCCTGCATCTACGTTTGAGTATTCCCAAAGTTCACTAGATGATCCTGTATGTTGATAAAGACTTGCTGAGGAGAAGTATATTCTATTCGTATAGTACTCACTATGGGTCTTAAAAAAAGATCAGGCTATGGAGAATCTTAATATAAATAAAATCATAGAGTGTTAGTCATTTCCAAGATTGTGATAGTTGTACACTGTTGCTTTGTTCAGGTGCATCATCGCTGTGATGCTGATTATCAGCATAAGAAAATGTAGCACATAATAGGCTCACAAAAATTTCTGAGGCCTGGGTGAGTATTTTTGAATGTGTTTTCAAGTATAGAGATTCAAATCAACATATTCTTTTATATTTTGTACATGAATCTTTTGAGAATTGCATATAAAAGACCTTGCAATTTTTACTTTAAACTCAAACTGATTTTAGTAATTCTTTTAATTTTAAAGAAACTGGTTTTTATTTTTCAGTGTTGAAAATGAGCCCGTGAGCACAAGTCAGAAAAAGGATAATGTACTTTCATCAGAAGCAGTAAAGGTATAGTTCTAAATTAATATTTTATATTAAGCAAATATTTCTCTTAATTTCTGTTCCTACTTCTTTTAGATTCTGTCATTTTACATTTCAAAAACAGTGCTACATTATTTATGTGGAAATCCAGCCCAGCTCTGTTGGATGTATAGTATTTAGGTGGGATGCGGTGAGGGGAGAGGGGCACTGGGGAGAGTTTGAGAGTGGGGTGTTCTTATCCCAGCTTTGCCACTAACGAGCTGTGGGGCCTTCGGCTGATGTATTGAATGTCTTTGTCCTTAGTTTTCTAATCTGTGAATTGGATTGCCTGACTTCCATAGTTTCTTTTCCCTAGGATGTTCTTTATGTTGTGTTTTCTCAAATGCTGCTGACATTTAATAGTGCTTTTGGAAGCTAAGAACATGTTCTTACATGTTCTTAGCGTGTGATGGATATTTTTGGTCAGCTCACATATGAACTGGATTTCCTTGCTTCTACAGGACAAGCATGAAAAGTGTATAAGCTACACACCTCCCTAGGTAGTTACTGATAAGTATGGTTAAAAATCCTTGAAAATTGGGGTGCCTGTGTAGCTCAGCTCAGCATCCATCTCTTGATTTTGGCACAGGTCATGATCTGAAGATCCTAGGATGGAGCCCTGCATCAGGCTCCCTACTCAGTGGGGGGGTCTGCTTGAGGATTCTCTTTCTCTCCCTCTGCACCTCCTCCTGCTTGCTTTCTCTCTCTCTCTCTCCCCCCCCTCCAAAATAAATAAATGTGTTGTTTTTTTTTTAAGATTTTATTTATTTATTTGACAGAGACACAGCGAGAGAGGAAACACAAGCAGAGGGAGAGGGAGAAGCAGGCTTCCCACGGAGCAGGGAGCCTGATGGAGGGCTTGATCCCAGGACCCTGGGACCATGACCTGAGCCAAAGGCAGACGCCCAATGACTGAGCCACCCAGGCACCCCTAAAATAAATAAATGTTTAAGAAAAATCCTTGAAAATCACTGAACCTTGTAACATTTCTTTTTACTCATAAGTGATTTTCTAGAACCTGAATATTTGTGTTGTTCAGTGATGTGATGCCAGGTATGTGATCGAGCTTTTGTAGCTGTCCCACAGTCATGGAGTTTTGTCTCATCAATTTTCTTTTCACATGATTTGTGACAATCCGTAAAGCAGAATGCTTGTGCTTTCCATGGATTTCAGAGTAAATTAGCTCGGTCAATGGAGGGACCATAAAGTCATCTGAATTCTTCATTACTGATAAGAGGATTTTAAACATTATATAAGGTCCAAAGGCATTAGATATGGTGACGATAAAGCTGTTTTCATTGTTCCCCCATCATAATAAACAATATAAATATTTTTGGAGAGAAAATATCAGGATCTGATTTTTTTTTTTTTTAACTTTATCGAAAGAAAAAAATCAGGATCACCTTGCTTTCCTTATCTGTCTTCATTCTTTTGCGAGTTTGGCTATTAAATCCTGCTTTCAGGGACACCTGGGTTGCTCACTCGTTTAAGCATCTGCCTTCAGCTCAGGTCGTGATCTGAGAGTCCTGGGATCAAGCCCTGCGTCAAGTTCCCTGCTCAGCGGGGAGTCTGCTTCTCCCTCTCCCCATGTCCCCCATGCTCTCTCTCAAGTAAATAAATAAAATTTTTTTAAAAAATCCTGCTTTCAGGTTTTACAACATTTCTACGTACTCTTTTCCTATCAACTCAGCCAACTGTTAGCCAGCCTACTGGTTTACCACTGCAAGGGCTCTGTAGCTTACTTCTTCTCTTCCTTCAGTTTTTGCATGTCTTTGGTTGCCTTAACTTCAAGACTTCTAATGGTATATATGCAGCCTTGCTCTTGAGTTGTTTTATAGGAAGTACTTTCTTTTGAGATCTCCAACTTCGAAGTGTCTTTGACTGCTAACTCCTTCACTCCATCTCCTAATCCCTCACTGCCTCCGTACCTGTTTTGACCTTCACCAAACATTTCTGCTCTCCTTGCTGCCTTCCCCTCTCTTAGAGGCTCCACTTGTTTCCCCACTTGACCTGTAATTGATACTGTACTACTTCAGCTATAATCTCACTCAAAAAAAAAAAAAAAAAAACACAAAAAACAAAAACAAAACCTTCAGCCTTCAGACTTGGCCTTTCCTGTAGTCCTACTTTGTACCTGCAGAGGTTTGTTCCAGAAAGTCACACATTTGTAGATGCGGTGAATATGTACATTGGGCAGATACATTGGCTGGGCCTCCATGGTTAGTCTTTTCTATCCATTCTTAATATCTTGATTTGAGTGCCCAGGATAATTTCAATTTGGGATCTGGGTCCCCAAGTAGATATGGCTCATAGTCATGAGATTGTTTCTCTTAGGATTTGAGGCCCGTTAGATTACTTATACATGGGCAGTGCAGTTAGAGAGTAATAGAGTGCACCACTGCGCTCTCCCTGTGGTGCTCTGTTGCTTTACCTTCCAGAAGCTATTAGTAAGATTTCTTCAACCTAGCCACACAGGCCCAATGGTTTAGATACCTGTTGCCAGGCATCAGAAATATATGTATTTTGATAACACCAATAGTCAGCACCATACCTCGTGGAGGAAAACAGGTTAGAACAATACTGACGATCCTGTTATTCTAAATCGTCTCGATTTAAGTATTTTCGTTCGGAATGGAATAAAATATGCATTTGTTTTCTTTCTAATGAATAGTTTTCTGAAGCAGCACTCCACTGTAATGTGACATTTGTTACCATGCTTCCATCTTGTTAATCTGAATTTTATAATGCCTTCTGTGATAAGAAAAAATATGCAGCATTTTTCCTGTTGAGTCTGAAATGTAACACATTTATGAATAATAAATGTTCTTATCCATTTCTTTTTGTGAGTATTTGACTTTGAGATGCCAAATCAAGATGTTGATGATTGTTTGGTTATAAGTTTAAGCTACAAAAATTAGATTTTTCAAACAACTAAAGACTATAGAAGCTTTATATTATCTTTGGAGGACATCATTATATTCTTAGTTATCACTTAGATGCTATACAAGTTTTGCTGTTTTGCTAACATTGGTAGCCATTTCTAATGCTAGCATTTATCATTCCACTGATAAATTTCTTTTATATGAATTAGGTTCTTATATCTAGCTGGCAAAACTTCCAGATATTTAGTTCGTATTCTACCTTTGTTTTTCTCTGGGGTCTACAATTTTGTCTTGTAGCCTTAGACACTTGGTCCTGTTGCATTCACATCTACTGTTATTTAAAAGAGTAGGAAGTCATGTTCTAATTCCCTGCTGCCATCTACCTACTTCAGAGGAATTTTCATCCCTTTTTGTCTTCCAAGGATAAACTCCCGAAAGCCCCCTGCTTTGCTTTTGATCTGGTTTTAGTCCCCCTGGTTTTGGACTCTTATTTCCTGCCTTCTCTTAGACCTTGCCTTGACTATCCATCCTTTCATCTTCACTGGCTTCTTTTTCTTTTCTGAAACACAGTTGTTTTGGGAGGCACCTGGGTGGCACAGTCGGTTAAGCATCCGACTCTTGATTTTGGCTCGGATCATGATCTCAGGGTTGTGAGATTGAGCCCCGTGTCGGACCCTGTGCTGGGCGTGGAGCCTGCTTAAGATTCCCTCTATCCCCCTTGGCCCCTCCCACCTCCCTCCCTCTCCTCCTCTAAAAAATAAACACACACAACACACTTTTTTCCCCCCTTTGGTGGGTCTGGTTTCCTTTCAGTCTGTCATTTCACGTCACTCCCCATCATTGTTTAATTCTTAATCCTTTCTAATTTGATTCTTGTCTCTTCTCTAGTTCCCTCAGACATGGGAAATTTAGTACTGTGCCTGGTACATGTGTCATAAGTGCTCACTAAGTAGTTAAATGAGTAAAAGTCATTCCATGAAACCAGTGATCTCTTGCTAATCACAGTCAATAGTCTTTTCTTAGTTCTTATTTTATTTAACCAGTTGAGACCCTTGATTTTCCAGATCTTCTTTCCACAGATTTGCTTTTTTATCTTTTTTTCCATTAATATTGTACTTCATTGCAATTGCCTCTGGCTATTTCCTTCTGACTTTCTGGCCAAATTACTTTTCATATAGATGTTTCTCAAAGTCCTCAGTCGTCTTCAATGTCTGTCTTCCAAAGTAATATCTTTCAGTCGTATTGCTTCATTTTTTGGTGCTCAGATCTCTACTTGACATCCCTTTTGAACTCTAAGCTTGATTGTTGGGGTTCCAGACATTTCTGAATGGATGGCCTTTGGTACTTCAAATTCAGTCTGCCCAAAAGTCTCAGTATCTTCAGAGATGTTCTCTTTACATGTATTTATTTGGGAGGTGGAGGTGGTGGGAGGTAGGGAGGATCGTTTAATTGCTTGGGATGGGAGAAGAGCCCTGGGTTCAGGTATTCCATCTGGAGATTTTCTTTTTTCTTTTTCTTTAAGATTTTATTTATTTGACAGAGAGAGAGACACAGTGAGAGAGGGAACACAAGCAGGAAGAGTGGGAGAGGGAGACGCAAGCAGGGGGAGTCTCCAGGAGAGGGAGAAGTAGGCTGTCCGCTGAGCAGGGAGCCCAATACGGGGCTCTATCCTAGGACCCTGAGATCATGACCTGAGCCGAAGGCAGACACTTAACAACTGAGCCACCCAGGCGCCCCCCATCTGAAGATTTTCAACCAAACTCTTTACTTTTAATCCCACGTCTCACACTGCCCTAAATGGTACCTAGTGTCTTCAAAACCTAAACTTTTTCAGGCTGTCTATGGAGTAGAGTGTGTCCCTCATGATCAGAGTTCCCCCTTGCAGCCGCTTGGGTAGAAGCTTCCTGTGGTGAGTTACTCTGCCTCCATCCGCTTTTGCCTTCAAAACTGTTTTGAAATCTCTTATCTGCTCATATGTACTCTCTTACTCTCTTTGTATTTATAACTGAAACCGTTCCTTTACTGTCATTTTAGAATGTTTTGTACAAGAGAAGCAGTCAATATGTGTGGCTCATCAACAGTGTTAATCAGAATTTTTATCTCTTT